TTATTTATTTATTTATTTATTTATTTATTTATTTATTTATTTATTTATTTATTTATTTATTTATTTATGTGTCTAAAAATACGTTTCCATTTCCATTTCATTCCATACAATCACATGTATACTGTGCATAACCGGGGCATATAACATTGAATAATAAACACAGCCCTCGCTTTTATAGACAATACCCCCCAAAATACAAACCAAATATACCACCTTGACCCACCATACACCCTCTTTCACCCCCCTCCAACTTTCATTCCTCCTTCCTTTGTTGTTGTTGTTTATTTTGTTAGGGCCGTGATTTGTACTTTCCCACCTACTTTCTTCAGGGATTGAGATAATAAGTACTTTCGTTGTTTGAAATGTGCTCTCTCTTCCACTCTCTTTCCATGGAAGTAGGTGTATATGCGTGAAACACTTATACACATTCTGAGTCTATATATAGTGCACACGTGTGTGTTCTATTATTATCAAGGTAAAATATTTAGGTAAGTATGCTTGATGTAAATGTCACAAGATGCCACAGTCCTAAATCAAACTTGTACATGTAACAACATTTTTGAATTAAAGCTCAGCGCAGAATATTCTTTCAAAATTATTTACTCAGTGTAAAACGGGCAGAGGAAGAAAGGGAACAGAGAATTTCTCCAGCAATTTGTCAAAACTGGGACGCCCCCTTAGCAATGACAGCTGCATTGCTATTGAAAAAAAGCCAAAAGGAAGAATTCTCTCCCTAAGTTTTCTTGGGATTTAATCGAAGCATACGATGCAAATCACTGGAGATATAATTATATAATGAAAGGTGCAGTTATATAAAGAAAATGAGCACGTATCCTTGGCCAGCTTCTAATCAAATAAGTGCAAGAATGACATAGTCCACTCGTGAGAATTTCTTATTTCAAATAATTTTGAAAACAAATGTTCTTTCATTGAAATGGATGAAAACTGAGGGGGGGGGGAATTGATAATTTCTCACTCTGGCACTAACTTGCATCCCCAATAATATATTGGCATTGAGATACAAATACATCAATACTGTATCGGAATTAACCTATTTCCTTTCTGTTCATCTTCCTATTTGCCTGTCCCCCTTTCCATAACATCGATCTCAAATTCTGCTAAAATTGCTTTACAAGGAGGAATGTTGGCTTCATTCATATCAGATATTTCTAGGGGTGGAATAAGTACAGCAAAGAAATAGAAGGGAAATCAGGCTGTGGAATATGATATACATACCAGCCCTTCTTGTTCCTTTAATCCATGCTATGGCTTAAAATACTTCTACAGGATTGCTGCTTGCTCATCCACGCCCATGTCAAAGATAGATTCTCTGTGGCCCTATTTACACTCCCAGGATTAATTCCAATTCCTCATGGTGAAGCAACCCTCTATGTGTGTGAGTCATAACTATGTGGTTGGATCTCCATACAATATTCTTTTTGAACAAGAAAACATGAATTACTGTAATGCGCTCTACATGTGGCTGCCCTTGAAGAGTGTTCGAAGACTTCAGTTAGTCCAGAACGCAGCCGCGCAAGCGATTGTGGGTGCACCCAGGTACACTCACGTCACACCTATCCTCCGCGAGCTGCACTCGCTACCCATTAGTCTCCGGACCCGCTTCAAGGTGCTGGTCATCACCTGTAAAGCCCTACATGGCATTGGACCTGGGTCCCTGAGAGCCCGCCTCCTGCCGATTACCTCCCATAGACCGATTAGATCTCACGGTTTAGGTCCCCCCCGGTTTCCATCTGCCAGCAAATGTCGGCTGGCGACTCCCCGG